GCACAGCTAGGAGTGACTTTGGTGGTAGGCAGCTGGCAGGCAGTGGCGTGGTGGCTGGAGGGACAGGTGGGAATACTCCATGACACCTGTCTGCCCACACCTCTCTGTGTCTCAGTCCGCATGTCTGTGATGGGGGAGGTGTGAAGACATCCTTCTCAGAGGTCAGCACTGCCTGTGTGGACCTTGGAAAGGGCTGCATGGAGCCCAGCAGTGATGCTCTGGAGAGGCAGCAGCCATGTGCCATGACTCTGGTCTTTTCTGGGACACGGGAGCTAGCAGCATCCTAGGCAGCTTGGGGCAGGTACCAGGTTCAGAGAGTCTGTAGGCTCAGGGGGAGCACCGAGGAGTATCCAGAATTCAGGTGGGGAGTGTAGTCTCCCAGGATGTTTACTCAGCCTCAGCTGGCTGCCCGTAGGGAGGATGACAGTGCTCCCCACCAGGACCCTTCAGGGGCTGCTTGCCTTCTCAGGGCCACTGAGGAGGGAGCCTAGCAGTGCCATCACCCTCTCCCTCTTCTGAGCATTCCCAGAGCACAAGGCATCCTGGTTCTTGGCCCCATCAAAGCCGGAACCCAAGGGCCTCTTTGTCCAACAAGTAATCCGCTGATTACCGGGTGCCCACCCCTGCTTGAGGGAGCTGCTGGGGACTCCAGGTATTCCTGGCTGCCAAGGCCCGGAAACACCATCGTCCCAGCAAGGCGCTCCTGAGCTTGCTGGGCACCATGCCAGGGCAGCAGGGCAGGGCTCCAGGGAAATTCCATGGGGGGGAGGGAGGGAAGGGCCTGCCCAGCCCAGCAGGTGCCTGGCCCCCATGGCTCCCGTGCCAGGTGGGCTTGGCAGGGCTGTTTGATGTGGGGAGTCTTCTCTCCTCGCTGAGTCCCTAATGCACTTAGAATTCAGGAGTGACCCAACAGTGGGCCCCAGGGCTGCCCACCCCTGCCCACACTACCATCTCTCTTCTTAGTCTTCTGAGTGAGAGGAGACCCGGTCACAGTGGGGGGCAGGTCTGTGAGGGACTTCTGACAGCCTGGTGTAGGGGAAGGGACCATGACAGCTGACGATCAGCCCACTGTGGGCCTGATCAGCTAAGTGCTGGGGCTGAGCCAGTGACAGTGACTGCCAGCCTGCAGCCAGCCCCAGGTAAACAATGGGTGCTTTTTTGTGAAAGTTGGTCCCGGCTGCTGCATGGGATACACACAGACTAAAAACTTTCACTGCTTATCTGAACTTTAGATTGAACGGGGTGCCCTGTACTTGCTGGACAAGACACCCGACCAGGGCTGGATGCAGGAAGCAGAAGGGGGACTTGATTCACTTCTGCGCCACACTCCTGGCCCCATGCCTGGGCACTCCAAGCACTTACTGCTCTTCCACCCTTAGGGTGGGAGCCCCCAATACTCCCCATACACTTTGCTCACCTCTCTCCCGACACCTTCCCCTGTGGGTGTCAGAGCCATCCACTTACATCTGACCTCCTCATCCACCTCCTCTAAAGCTTTCTCTGGCTCCCCAGTGTCCTTTGGAGGGAGCCCCACCCTCTCCACAGCACCCAAGCCCTCTCAGCCTGTCCCAGTCCCTTCTTCCCACTCCGTGTGTACCAAGCTCCTCATTCTGGCTCCCCACCACTTTTTGCACTTGTCCTGCTGTTCCTTCTGCCTGAATGCCCTTTCCTGCCTTCTTATCTGCCAACTCCCTCATCTTTCATGCACCTTCAACCTCTTATCCTGTGCTCCCAGAGCCCGGGGAATCCCCTCCCTAGCCCCCCTCCTGCAGGCCCCTCTGCTCCGAGGCTCTTTGGGCAGGGAGGGAACCTCCCTCATCACTGAGGTGCAGCACGCAGTGAGCACCCTCCACACTGCCAGAGAGCAGCTCGGGGTCTCCAGCCACCCTGAACAACAGGGCAGGCACTCCTGGGGCTTTCCCTGGAGGGAGAGTTTAAGGCTCTGTAATTGATTCCCAAGAATCAGTCAGGATCTGCCTCAACACAAGTGACAGGAAGCAAGTAACCCAGGAGCAGGTGACGCACAGCTGGGGGATGCCCTGGTGATAGGGGGATTTGTGCTGCCTGGGGGTGTGTGTGGGGGTGTAGTCATGCAGGCGGATGCAAGTGTGCATGCAAGTGTGTATGTATATATGCATGTTGTGTGTATGCATGTACAGCCACAGTTGTGCAGGTATGTATATATGCATGTGTGCATGCCAGTGCATGTGTGTCCATATGTATACACACGTGCACACACATACACAGTGCACATCTGTGTTAGTGTGTGCATGTGTATGCATGCATGTAGCGGGTGCATGTATGTGCGCGGATACATACAAGTATGGGCATGTGTGTGCATGCATGTGTGTGCTGGTATGTATGTATACACTGGTATGTGTGTATACACTGTGTGTGCAGGCATGTGCACAGGCATGCACACACGTGTGGCTGTCACTGAGTTGGCTTCCTTAGTTGGCTAGGGGAGAAGCCCATGAGTTTGCAGTCTGTGCCTCCTGCTGCTTTTCCGTGGAGTCTAGCCTGGCCGGTGTGTAGCTCAGTCACACTCTGAAGCAGCCACTGAGCCTGTAAGTGGAAGGTCCTGTAGGCTCTGAGGTGTGGGGCAGCCCCAAAGTCAGCTTTCCCAGCAGACAGAAGGAGTCGCACCTCCCGGGGCTGCATGAGGGGAGGACGTGCTAATCAGGAAGAGCCTAGGCCATCTTCTGGCCCTGCTGAGGGCTCATGGACCATAGTTGTCCCAGACCCCTGTCCTTGTCCCAGTGAGTCTTACCCTTTTAACTTAAGCTCACCTGTGTGCTCCTCAGGCCTGCCGTGGGTTGGTCTCTAGAGCACCCTGGGCTGTGGAGCCTTGTTCAGTGACTGTGGAGCCCCATCCTCACCTGCAACCCAGCCAGCTCTGGGCTTTGGCAGGCAACAGCGCCCTCTGCTGGGCATGGAGAAAGCACCTTTACATCGGTCCGAGTTTGCAAGGGGCAGGGAGACCAGGAGACCCAGGTAGACCATCCTGAATCGAATCTACAGGCAAGGAAGGTTAACAACCTGCCATGGAGGGGCAGGTCACATCCAACCTGGGCATCTGAGCCAGGCTTTTGCAGGTTTTTGCAGACAAAACATCCTCCCATGGTTGCTGGTACACATGGCTTTCTCCGCTTCCTGTATCATGTGAGTGATGCAAGGTGTTCCTAAAGCAGGGGTTTTTGTTGGACATGGACTAAGCCAAGAAAAGAAGTAGTCTACCTCACTTTTCTCAGTATTTCTTATAAAGAAGGTCTAGTGGCAATTAATTCTATCACTTTTATCTGCAAATGACTTTATTACCATCATGTTTAAATGATATTTTCCTGATTGTAGAATTGCAGGCTCACTTTTTTTTCTTTCCAGTTACTTTACAGATGTTTTCCTGTTCACTGCACTGTCACTTTTTCTGATGAGAAATCAGGCATTGTTTGTATTACTGTTTTCCTGTATGGAATCTTTTTTCCTCTGGCTGTTTTCAAGATTGTCTCTTTATCTTCAGCTATTTGGAATGATGTGTCTAGGTCTGGATTTTTTGTGTCTATTCTGCTTAGGGTCAGTGATCTACTTGGATCTGTGTTTCGGTGTTTTCAATCAAATTTGAAAAATGTTTAGCCACAATTTATTTCAATGATTTTTCTGCCTCATTCTCTGTTGCTTCCTTCTGTAATTCTAATTACATGTGTGTTAGACTACATTCAGTTATCACACAGGTCATTGACGTTCTGTTCATTTTCATTGTAATCTCTTTATTTGTGCATTTTGGTTTAGATAATTTCTATTGGCCTACTTCTATTTCACAAATTCTTTCTTCTGGCTTACCCAAGGAGTGCTGGATTCCATCCAATAAATTTATGAATGCAGATCTTGTACTTTTTTTTTCGAGTTATGGGATTTCCACTTGGTTGTTCTTAGAGTTTTCCCAGCTTCCCTACATCTTATCACTCATTACGAACATCCATAGATTTTTGTCAAAGATATTGTAGAGGTGTTGTCTGCTAATTCCAATATTTGCATAGTGTGTCTGTTTACTGTTTTTGTTTGGTTTTTTTTTTTCCTTAATGGTGGGTCACATTAGTCTCCTTTTTTCAGGATTAATAGATTTATTTAATTGTGTACTAGATAGTGTGATTCTACATTATAGAGACTCTGTATTCTGTCATCATCCTCTAAGAAGTGTTGATCATTATTCTAGTATATTTTAAAAATTTTGGTGGATCAACTTAGCCTCTGAAAGCTTAATTTCAGACTTTGTTCTGATATGTCTAATTTAATTCTGCTTTTAGTCCTATGAAGTGGGTCTTAGTCCTGGGATATATGGTCCTTACTCCTAAAGTATATCTCTTCTGTAGTTTCCATGAAAATCCAAAGTGTTTTCCAAATCCTGCTAACTTGGTGTGACCTGCATGCCTCCCCAGGATTGAGTGGCTGTTTAAAGCTCCAATCAGCTGTTTCAACCTCCCAGCTGCTGTAGATCTCTGATCCTTGTAATCTTAATCCCTGTACAACTCAAGAATGAGATAAGGTTTGAGAAGCAGTAACATAGGGAGGCGGGGCTTCCCACCCATAGCTTCCTCCTTTCCAGGGTACCGCCTTCCATTTCCAGCACCAGACTCTCACAAGCTATACCTACACATTGCTTGGTATTTGGAGCTGGGACTAGAGGAATCAAGGAGGTCTTCCTGGCAGAGGTGGTGTAGCAGATGGAGCTCATAGGACAAGCAGCATTGGGACAGGCAGTTGGGGAGGCACAGGTGACTGAGAAGCACTTGTCACTTGTTATCTGTAGGGATGCAGTGGCACTCACGTTCGTGAAGGGAGTGGTAGTTGAGGAGGCTACCATCAGGAAATGCCATGTTGAGCACCCAGAGCTCACTGGGTGCTCAGTAGTGCCAGGGTCCCATGTCCTGCCTAGCAAAAACACTGGGCACACCCAAGAGGAGTGCTGCTCACCCTGCCTCTATGCCATTCTCCTTTGCTCCTAGACGTTCGGTGCAGCAGACTGGGAAGTCTTCCACATTGGGGAGAGGATCTTCCTGGCTGTCGCCAATAGTCACAGCTACGACGTGGAGCTGCAGGTGCAGAACGACTCCTACGTCATCAACTCAGTCATCTACGAGCTGAATGTGACCGCGCAGGCCTTCATCAAGTTCCAGGACATTCCCACCTGCAGGTACTCACCCGGCAGGTTTGGTGGGAGGTGATGCTGCCTCTGGATAGCCCAGGTGTCAGATCCCTGCTGGAGTCATCTCATCCTCTCAACTGGAGGGTGGGCTGGAGGAGGCAGTGCTGCCCTGAGCCCCGCATTGTGTTCCCAGAGCCGGGTGCCATGCACAGAGCTGCACACATCCACACCTACTGCTTCCTCTCACCTGGAATGTGGGGCAGAGGGGAGCATTATCACACATCCCAGACAGGTGTGATATGCAGGACCTTGGGCAGGTCTTCTGACCATGTCTAAAGCCTGCCATGCTGGCTGTCACTGGAAACAGGTCACTCCCTTCCCCTCTGTGTCTGCATCTTCCTTGACAACAGGACACAGAGACCAGCATGGAGAGGCGGGAGTGAAGGCCAGGAGGACAGAGCGTGGGTCCGTATGTACGGAATAGTGCTGGTTCCAGACCAACACTCTCTGTGGGGTCATACAAGACTTCACAGGCACCATGTTGAGACACGCATGTTGAAAGCTTGCAGCTGTCCCAACCTGTGCAGGCTTCCTCTGGGTGGGACTTGGATGTCTGAGAATGAAAATACAATAGAATCTGTATTGTTCATATCCCAGAGCCTGGGGATATGAACAATAGGTCAAGCTTAACACTGTAATATGGTACCAGTGCCAGTCCCAGGCCAGAGCAGCAACCTCACCAGGCACCATGGATTTCATCTACTCCTGAGTCCGTTCAGTGACCACCGGGTCCTAGTCTCAGCCTGAGAGATACAAAAGCCAATACATTTAGACTCTCTGAGGTGAACTCCTCAGTGGGTGAAGCCTGTGAGGGACAATGAAGTCACATGACCTACTTCCAGAGAACAAGCCACAGCTGTGCATTTCACAGCCATATGCATCTGTGTAAATGCAAATCACTCTGGAATGGACAAGCTGGTAACCAACAGCATCACCTCAGAAACGCGGAGGGCTTGGAAGGGGTGTGCAGGCAGGTCAAGTCAAGAAGGACTTCCTCCCTTTACACCCCGTTATGTCTGAATCATGTGATTGTGATTGACAGAGGTCTACAGTGTTAACTTGTTCATATGTCACATAACCTTTTAAATTATTTTTTAAAAAAGGTCACCCTCAGAGAAAAAGGAAAAAAGAATGCTGGGGCTGACTTGGAGGCACTGGTGACTCAAGGGCAAGTCACCATGGGCTCTGTGGCGCCGTGTGGCCTGGTTAGCCAGGCAACGTCAGCAAAGATGGGCACCAGGAGCAGCAGGCCCACAGGGTGAACCACATCACTAAGTATCGGCTCCTGCCCAGAGTTTTAGAACAAAATATCCTTTAAGCATTTTAGAACAAAGTTTAAAATAAAACAAGTTTGAGAAGGAACTATGATAAAAATCAGTTGTGGGATGAAATGTATCTTATAGAGATGCTACCCATCTGGAAACTGAGGCCATAGCCTCTAGTATTTGGGACTGTTGTAATCTAGAAAATGCAGGTACACTTGTGTGATTTGTAGCCGTGTCACCACTAGATAGTTATGTGAACCATTTATTGTTAGGTTATCAAACATTAAAAGTATTTATTTATTTTTATTTTTTTATTATTTTGAGTTGGAGTCTCACTCTGTCACCCAGGCCGGAGTGCAGTGACACACCCATCGCCACCGCTGGCTTGACCTACTGGGCTCAGGTGGTCGTTTCACCTCAGCCTTCCAAATAGCTGGAACTACAGGCATGTGCCGCCACACCCAGCTAATTTTTTGATTCATTGTAGAGATGAGGTCTCGCTAAGTTTTCTGGGCTGATCTCGAACCCATGGGCTCAGGAAATCCTCTCACCTCAAGTTCCCAAAGTGCTGGGATTATAGGCATGAGCCACCGTGCCCAGCCAAGTATTGATTTATTAATTCAATTATTAAATGCTAAAATAATGCTTAACAATTACTGTCAAATTTTTTCTGTGGCAATCACATTAGGAAGAATCCAAACTGGAAAATAGTACACAGAAGTACAGTCCCTGGCCTCTCCACTTACCATCAAAAGCTCCCCATATTTCCTGGACACGTGAGGTGGCTCACTTTCCAGCATGTCTAGACCCCTCCAGGGCATGGAGGACTCCTATCCTATCTGTAATCTTGGCTCTGATGGCCTCCAGATGGTGCAGTGTGTCTGCTTGTTTGTTTTTACTATCTGTGGTTTTTATTAAGCCCACAGATACTTGCACCTTCACCACAGTCAATTCTCAAACATTCATCCCCTCAGGGAGAGACCCTCACCCTTCACAGTCCCCCACTTGGCACATGCATCCACTTTCTGTCTCTGTGTATGTATTCATTCTGGGTATCTCATGCAAATGGCATCAGGTAGCTTGTGGCCTTTTATCCGGCTTCTTCCATGCAACGTCATGTCCTGAGGTCCGTCCACACTACAGTCTGTCAGGGCTCCCTTCCTTCCTGTGGCCAAATTATGGCACATCATGTGGGCATAGTCACTTGTCTCTTCTCTTATCTGTTGATAGGCATCTGTGTTGTTTTCACCTTTTGACCAAATGGTGCGATTCTGAGAAATAAAAAAATACCTCAAATATCTATCCATATAATTAGCATCACCTAAGGGTGCAGAAAGTCACTGCTGAGACCTCATTTCCACCCATGTGATACCCAAGTCAGCCCCTCCTAGGAGCCACCAGGCAGCCCAGCAGAGCTGTTGGTCTTCCTCGGCCTTGGTTTCTACATTCAGTTCCATCTGAGGAGTCAGGCACTGGAGTCACACTGACCCATGGCCACACCCCCACACGAGGGCATATGATTAGGGGACCATCACCCTTTCCCAGTGGTGTCAGCCTGGGCTCCACTTTGGGCCAAATCACAACCCGCCATCCATGGAGGCCACCCTGGGTGTGACCTGGATGTGACCCTGACTAATTGAAGGAAGGAGTGAGCAGCCCCAGGGCCCTGCTGGCCTCTTCCAGCCCACCTGTTCCCTGGACATCTCCATGGTCTCTCTCACTCCTAGGTCCTGTCTGAGCTCCTGCTGTAGCCCAGTCCCCTCAGTTCCCCATGGAGAAGCATCCAGAGATGAGTCTCCATCAAGAGAGGGGCCCCGGCTGGGCGTGTTGGCTCACGCCTATAATCTCAGCACTTTGGGGGGCCAAGATGAGAGGATTGCCTGAGCCCACAGGTTTGAAACCAGCCTAGACAACTTGGCGAGACCTCATCTCTACAATGAATCAAAAAATTAGCTAGGCATGGTGGCGCGTGCCTGTAGTTGCTGCTACTTGGAAGGCTGAGGCAGAAGGATCGCCCGAGCCCAGCAGGTTGAGGCTGTGGTGACCGTGATCGTGCCACTGCACTCCAGCCTGGGTGAAAGAGTGAGACTCCAACGCAAAAAAAAGAGAGAAGGGCCCCTCCACTGCCTGAACTGGCCACAGCCCTGAGGCCACCAGACACAGAGGCATATTCCTGCTTATGGCATGGCTTTGATCTCAGTTTCCTCATCTCTAAAGCAGGCATAGGACCTGCAGTAATCAGAGAGGCAAAAGGCAGAGATGAGTTGTGGGGGCCAACGACTGGCAGCCCAGGTGGGCCTCCTGGGGAGTGGGGGGAGAATTCTGGGGAAGCCACTTGTATGTCAGCAGATCCTGTGGGAACCTGAAAGGTGGTCAGTTCTTCCACATAGTGACCTCATGTCTGATGACCTCAAGCCCCTGCCTCCAGAGGGTGCTGTGGGTTCAGAACATTTCCTCTGGTTATTTCAATCTCTTAAAAATGGACTTTTGCACCCCAAAGTTCATAGCATTATCCGCAGTAGCCAAGAGGTGGAAGCAATCCAATTGTTCATCGATGGATGAATAAGCAAAATGTGGTCTGTGCATATAGCAGCCTCTTACTCAGCCTGACACTGGAAGAAATCCTGACAGGTTGCAGCATGAGGAATCTTGAGGACAGCATGCTGAGTTACATAAGCCAGTTACAAAATACTATATGATTCCACTTATATGAGACAACTGGAGTGATCAAATCCAAAGAGACAAAAATTAGAATGGTGGGTGCCAGGGGCTGAGGACAAGGAAGGGGAGTGAGCATTTAATGGGGACAGTTTCAGTTTTGCAAGAGGTAAAAGTTCTGGAGATGGATGGCGGCGATGGTTGCACGACAGTGTAAATGTACTTAGTGCCACAGAACTGTACATTTAAAATTGTTAAATGCTAAATTTTATGTTATGTGTATTTTACCATAATGTAAATCTGTTTAAAATGTTAACTAACTAATTTATATTCTTTCAGAATGGACCAACTCACTGTATGACTTTGAGAAAAATCACTCCCCACTTTGAGGTCCAGCTCCTCCTCTGTGAATTTTGGAGGTGGAACCCAGGCGTGATTTCTGGAATCAGGAGAATTGGCTCCAAGCTAACACCTAGTTCATGCAATGTCTCAGTTTTGTGTCCTAATACCCACTCGTCTTTCCCTGCAGTGCTCTGGACTGGGAATTTTTCTCAGTGGGAGAAGATTATTTCCTGGTGGTTGCAAACTCCTTTGATGGAAATACCTTCTCAGTGAACAGTATTATTTACAGGTAAAGGCCAGCATCCTTCCCACCACCTCGGTTCTCCCTGGGGGGCTCACCTTCCCTTGCTGGTGACCAGTGGTACAGAATGAGCCACAGGACATGGGGCCAGGTAATGTTTCCTAAGGTTGCCCAGGCCCAGCTGCATTTGTGTGAATGCCAAGTTGGGCCCAACCCCTGAGTCTAGCCACTTGACCCATGAGTGCTGGCTCCTCTACCTCTGGACTGACAGGAGACACAGCACATGGGCGTACTAACCTGGAAATCACCAATATTTAATTTTTCTCACATATGAGGTCTGACAATTAAGATCACGAACGTGGCACCGTGTGCTTACATTGGCAGCACTGTACAAACAACAGGGTAAGGTTTCATAACCTTGGCATATCAGTGTCTCACAGATGTGTTCATGTCTACATGTGGCAGTGTCGTGCTGAATGGCATTCATTATTGTTGCATGTTTTTGTGTGCCATCACAAGAATGTTGGAGCTTGAATTAGAGCAATGAATAAACATTATATTTCTTGTTAAACTTGGCAAGAGTGGAAGTGAAATGAGGGACATGTTAGTCTGAGTCTGTGGAGATAGTGCCATGAAGAAAACAGAAGTGTACAAATGGATTTAACATTTTTCTGAGGGGAGAGAAAGTATCACTGATGAAAAGAGATCAGGACAACCAGTGACGACCAGAACTGACAAAAACATTGCAAACATCGTCAAATTTTACATCAAAATCATCGGCCGACTGTGAGCATAGCAGGCCAAATACACATTGATAGAGAAACAGTTAGGAAAATCTTAACTGAGAATATGACATGAGAAAGGTGTAGGCAAAAATGGTCTGGAAGGAGACACAGCACATGCAATGCATCAGCTCACACGGCACTGTCTGTGAGGGAGTTTTTAACCAGTAAACAAATTACTGTATTGGAACACCCACCCTACTCACCCTGTTCTGACCCCCAGTGACTTTTTCTTTACCCGAAGACAAAGGAAATATTGAAAGGAAGATATTTAGATGACATTCAGGACATCAAGGGTGATATGATGACAGCTCTGATGGTTATTCCAGAAAAAGAGTTCTAAAATTGCTTTGATGGGTGGACTAGGCACTAGCATCAGTGCATAACTTCCCATGGGGAGTTCTTTGAAGGTGATCATAGTGATACTCAGCAGTGAGATATGTAGCACTTTTTCTAGGATGAGTTCGCAAACTTAATTGTAAGACTTCACAGACACTTAGCATTCTTGGGACCCTTATTTCAAGTAGTTTTTCAAGGAATCTAAACATAACAAATGGAGTTCGTTTTCTTTTCCTTTAATTTTCATTTGCAGCTACTTATTGCAACAATCTATTTTTGTGTCACCTAACCAGATCATCTTATCAATTCTTTTTTTTTTTGAGTCAGGGTCACCTAGGCTGGAGTGCAGTGGCATGCTCATGGCTACTGCAGCCTCGACCTCCTGGGCTCAGGAGACCCTTCTGCCTCAGCCTTCTAAGTAGCTGTAACTATAGGCTTGTGCCATCACACCCAGCTAATTTTTAAATTTTTTTTGTAGAGACGAGGTCTCACCAAGTTGCCTAGCTGATCTCAAACTCTTGGGCTCAGGCAATCCTCCCACCGTCGCCTCCTACAGTGCTGGGATTACAGTCATGAGTCACCATGCCCAACTATCTTATTAAATCTAATAGTTTTTCTTAAGAGTCTCAGGGGATTGAGAAATATTATTACATGTGAGAATGAAGGCAACTTTCCCCTTCATTTCTAATGTTTTTATTGCTTATCTAGTTTGCTTAACTAACAAAAATTCCAGGACATTCTTGGATAGTAGCAGTAACAGCAACTATCCTGCCTTGCTGTGATTTGATGAGAACATTTGGGCATCACTGCTTGATATGATGAGTGGTCCATGTCTGGGCTACGGTTTCCTCTGGCATCTATGGGTGTGTGGTGGGGTTCTTCTCTGCTAATCTGTGGATGTGATGACTTATAATGGGAGATTTTCTTGCAATCTTGGACCTAATGCCACTTGATGTTGCTGTATAATTATTTAATATACTGCTGGCTCCCAAATGCTTATCTTTATGATTTTTTGCTTCCATAATAGGAAAGGAAATTGCTCTGTGGTTTATTTGGGGGACTTACCTTTATCCAGTTTGATATGAAGCCTAACTTAATAAGCACAATGCAGAATTTTCTAACTATACCTATGGACTGGAATAATTTGAAGAGAAAGATTTTTTCCTTTCTCTTTTGAACTAGGTTAAGTTCAGTAATAAAGCAATTGGACCAGGCATGGTGGGTCACATCTATAATCCCAGCACTTTGGGATGCTGAGTCGGGGAGTTCAAAACCAACCTAGGCAACATTGCAAAACCTCATCTCTACAAAAAATTTTTAAAAATTAGCCAGGCATGGTGGCATGTACCTGTAATCCCAACTAATCAGGAGGCTGAAGCAGAAAGATCACCTAAACCCAGGAGGAGGAGACTGTCATGAGCCATAATTGTGCCACTGTCCTTTAGTCTAGGTGACAGAGTGAGACCTTCAACTCAAAAAAAAAAAATCTGGGCCTGGTACCTTTTTAACAGTAACTCTTGATCAACTTTTCTAATCATTTCAATGGTCATTGGTTTATGCAAGTTTTCCATCTTTCTTGAGACATTTGGTCATCTGTATTTTACTAGAAAAATCATCTGTTTTCTTTAGACTTTTAAATTTGTTGCTGTAGACTTTCAGCATGACAAAGTGCTTTTAAAATTCATGTGGAAGTATACATTTTCAAAGAATAGTGAAAGAGGACCTTGTCAGCATGTAAATAAAAGGTATGGTTTTCCCCCCAAATAAACAACTATAAAACTGGAATAGAGTACAGTTCAGAAGAAATGATGATTTATGATTATTTAACATAGTAAATGGTTTATGTGAAAGCAATGAGAAAGGATACCTTACTTAATAAAATAACTTCATATCATCTGGAAGAAAACAAAGCTGTACTCCTACATCACATCATTCACAAAAATAAATTGTTTCTGAATTAAAAATCTAAATGTAAAATAATAAACAACAAAAAATATTAGAAGAAAAGCTGAGGGATTTGCATAACCTCAAAGTTGGCAAGGCTGGAAAGAAAGTCACCGGGTCTGACTACCTGACTTTAAACTGTCTTTATGTGGAAAAAGACATCCCATTCAAACTCAAAAGACAAACTGCTTACCACACATGACAGACAACAGAGGGTGCCCACAACCACAGGGTAACCTGTGTGCATCTGAGGGAGCCCAGGGAAGGGCATGCACCTCAGTGCCAAGGCTGACCCTCGGAACTGCCAAGATTCTTGCCCATCCCACTGCGTATTCAGGGTGCCTGGAGCAGGGTCCTGCGTGGGTATGAGAAAGCCTGGGATCTTAAACAAGGCAGTTTCCCCCTTCTGGGCCTCAGTTTTCTGCTCTGCAAGATGAAAAAGCCCCTCCTGGCCCAGCTCTCTATGATTATGATCTGGGAGCTTGTTCAGCGCAGGACTATGTGGCACCTCCATGCCATGCCCAGTGGGAGAGGCAGGAGAGGCCTGGATGGTGTCCCAGATCACTGGGTCCATGAACCAGATGGGTGGGAATGATGGAAAGGGAATAGCGCCTCCCCCCGCAGGCTGACACTGTCTTTCCCCGCAGGTGGCAGGGCTACGAGGGCTTTGTGGCGGTGCACAGCCTCCCCACCATTGGCTGCAGGGACTGGGAGGCCTTCAACACCACGGCCGGTGCCTACCTCATCTACTCCAGTGCTAAGGAGCCCCTCTCCAGGGTCCTGCGGCTGAGGACACACTGAGGGAGAATAGGCTGCCCAGGAGCAGGGTGACAAGCTGGGGCAGGCCCCCAGCACCTCCTGACCAAGCAGCCTTGGACATCCTAGCAGGCCGGGCCTGGGGCAGCCCAGGCCTGGGCAGCAGGTGGGGTTCAGGTGGGGCCGTTTGCTGCTCTTGTTCAGATGGGGATGTCCACCCACCTCTGCACCCTCTCTGAGTCCTACTCACATGCCCCAGTCAGGTGGCTGGGCCAGAACCGTAACCCTGGTGACTGTCCGGCCACATTCCAGTGGCTCTGTGGTCTTCCAGGCTGAAGACCATAGGACCTGCCAGTGCTCACCAGCTCCAGTGTCCACAGGGATTTCACCTTAAAGGAAAACTTCCTAGAATATTTTACCTCAAAAACAACGGGGCCTCAGGCATATGTCTTTGCGGTGTTGGCCTCCCATGGTACATGCCCAAACACGGAAGCAGGCGTGATGCCGCCGCGCATACTCACAGCCACCTATTTATTGTATTTTATCTGTGTGGAAATATATTTATATTGCTCTTCACAAAAGCACAGCAGCTTCTTCATGTTTCTTGTGGGGTCTTAACTCTCAGCATGCCCCATACCTGGTCCTGGAGGCAGACAGCGAGGCCACCTCCCCTCCTGCCCTCAGTTTACCCATAAATGCATTGGGGGAGAGTCAGGAATTGCAAACTGGGCATGGCATGTGTCCCTCCCCACATACCTACCCACAGCAACCTCGCCTGACAGTTGGGTCCTCTGGCCTCTGGGCCCAGGCCAGCCTCCCTGGTTGCACCACGGATCACCCCTAGTCCCTGCAGCTGGCCTCACCAGCATGAGGATAGACTCACAGGCATGACTTCTTGGGCAAGCACTTGCTGACTCCTTCCCGTGCCTAACACTCCTGACCCTACACCAGAAGTGAGGCCTCCCTGAGTCTGCCCTGTTGACACGCCTGAATCTGGAGGAGGAGGGTGGGCAATACCACTAGGCAGATCTCCAGGGCAGGAGGGAAGTGTCTGTGCCAGGGACTTTGCTGAGAAGGCCCTGCGTGTCTATGCACCCGGGAGACCCCAGGGGCAGAGGGCCCAACACCTCATTCCTAGAAGTGAGACAGTGAGCAGGCAGGCGGGGTGGGGTGGGAGTATGGAGCCCGTTGTAGAAGGCAGGGGCAAGCCAATCTCATTCGCCATCACCCAGTCTGCAGAGGAGGCAGGTGCCCTGAGGGACACACACACTGCTGTGAGCATGAGCGCTCTGAAGGCCATGCTTGGCCTCACAATCCGCTGCTTCCTTTTTGAGATTCCTTTTTTTTTTAATGTTAAAGATGTGGGGTGCAATTCAGGGCTGAGATTCTTCATGAGCTTTGAAGAAGGGGCCGGTAGCATTATATTTATTAAGTTGCATGGCAGGCACATGGGTGTTCATTTTATTATTATTTAAACTTAAAAAAAACCTCAACTTTCTTTTGTATATGTGATGTTCACAACTTAAAGAGATTTGAAAGAAGAGCAAAATTTGATATTAAAAAAGTGATATAGGTGATCAATTCACACGCCTCCAGTTAACCTACTTAGTAGCAACCAAAATACAAAGCTAATAGCCCCCAAAGCAGACGCCATTCCAGTCATGAGATTAACCATACATGAGAGAAGAGTGATGCACATTAGTACTGGAAATCTCAGACACCAGAATGGAAGAAGAGTTTTTAAGATATATCCGTTGTGAACATGGCCCCAGGAAGAAGAAGAAAGCCCCACAGGCTAACATGCAGGGAAGAAAGAAAAATCTTCATTTTCAAAGAGTTACTTCCAGAAACAATGTGTCAGTGCTCAAATAACGATTAAGGCATGTTTGACACTTTCAGAAAACAAATCATTTTCTTGATTGATAAATTCTTCATAGCAAAAAATGATGGAGAACTTCCTACTTCACTTTATAAATTAATCTGACTCCAAAACCTGAAAACTTGGCACCAGGGAAAAAATTTACAAGCCAAATTCATTCAAATAAATAAATGTGAAAAAGTCTAAATGGAAAAAAAGACCAAACAGGATCCTTTTATGAAAAGAAAACTGAAACTTGATGTGTTGCATAAATCCAGGAATTTGGTGGTGGGTGAGTGCATGAGAAGGTTGTTGGAAAAGATGGAAAGACTTGACCAATGAGTCTGGATGACCAAGAGCATTTGCGGAAGGTGGGGCGTTTTCAGTGGAGAAACAGCTTAAAAGCTTGGCGGGACCCTTAAGCAGAAGCCTGGGCTAGCCTGGTGGGGGAGCGGGGGGCTGTGGTACAGCTGTTCACAAGGGCCTGTCACTGCTGTCCATGGTGCCTGTCCCTGCTTTCTGAGGGACTGTCCCTGCTGTCCGTGGGACCTGTCCCTGCTTTCCACAAGGGCCTATCCCTGCTGTCCACATAGGCTGTCTCTGCTATCCATAATATTCTGTCCCTCCTGTCCATAGGGCCTGTCATTTCTGTCCGTGAGGGCCTGTCCTTGCTGTCCATAGTATTCTGTCCCTGCTGTCCACAGAGCCATATGCCTGTCATTTCTGTCCATAGATCCTGTTCTTGCTGTCCACAAAGCCTGTCATTTCTGTCCACGGGGTCTGTTGTTCTGTCTATTGGGCCCGCCTCTGCTTTCCTGGGATGTCCACAGACTTGCTGATACATCTCCCTCCTTTTCTCATCCTATTTCGGTGTCAATAGCACTCCATGGATGGGACACTGGACACTGGAGTGGAGTGGAGTGGACCAGTGTGGTCCCTCAGGAGAACCTACAGTGTGAGACAGATGTGGGTACTCTGCAGTCTCCTCTGGCCCTGTGGTCTCTGCTCACCATTGAACTGAAGCCAGCTCAGGGCATCCAGAACACGTCTCAGGAGGTCCTCGACCTCTCTTCTGCTCAAGCAGTTGTCTGTGAAGTCACCACCTGGCTCCCACTCGCCCAGATGACACAACACACAGGGAAGAGCCCAGAATCTGCCACCCACTCCCCACCCCAGGGTCTGCAGACCAGTCCTGGGGCTCCATTCAGCACAACCCCTACCTGGAGCCAAGACCTGCCTTGATCTCACAGAGCCCACACATCCTTTGGGGTTGAACATCCCCTCTTGGGAGGTCCTCTGAGTGCCCCAAGGGACAGAAGTCCTGGACTCGGGCCTGGTCAGCTTCTGCTTCATTCCTCACTGGATTGGTGCTGGCTATGTCCATGTCTACTCCTGTGGGACCCGGAGTTCCCAGGAGGAGGAGAGTCTTCTGGATGTGTCTCCCAGAACTGAGACTGCGGTGGCAGTGGGTGGAGGCAGGAAGATGCACAAATGGGGCCACTCTCCCTGGGCTGGAGGGGACACCAGAGAGCCCTGTAGGGACCTTTCTCTATCTCAGCAAGGGCCTCTTGTAGCAACCACTATTTGGCCATTGGTCACCAGGGCCAGAGAAGAGACGCCCCACAGCAGCACTGTGTTGTCCACATAGCATAGTGGGTCGTTGAGGTCCTGGGAACAACTGGCCAAGCCTTCTGAGCCAACACCCTGCCCAGAGGAGCAGCCCAGCCTCCATGGCCCCATCCCATCCCTGACCACTGGCCTTTGAGCCACTTTGGAAGTGATAGGGATCTCTGGTGGCTGCTCCCTAGGGAGGAGGCTGCGCCCAGTTTGGCTCCTGGCCTTCGCCTTGCCACAATGCAAGTTTTGTGGATGAACTCCTACCAAAGCTTCTGAGTCTTGAGCCCAGGAGGACACAGGACTTGTCCAGAGCCAGGCCTCCTGGTTCCCCATGACTCAGTTCCACATGAGGCCCACAGAGCCCTTCCCAACAAGGGAACCACGCCCAGCCCACTCCATCTCAGTCCAGACCCAGATTTAGGATGTTAAGACTATCCAGAGCCCTCCTGGTTTTTAAAAACTTTGGTTTTTCTGGAGTCTCCTTCAGGCCAGCAGGTGACCTTGAACCTGGGAGAGCTGTGTGGGGGAGGGTGGGGGGTTACAGCTGGGGACACAGCTGTAGGGAGGGGGGGTTGGCCTCACTGGGCTTCCAGGGAGAGGGAGAGGAGTAGAGCCAAGGAGCTGGCCAGCGGGCCTGTGATATGAGAGGCTCCAAGGACTAGGAGACAGGGAATTTCATGACCAAGGAGGACCCTCTCCCTCCCTTGCACACACGGCAGAAGGGGATGTTCCCCCACCTCCCCGATCCACACACACCTACTGTCTCTATCCTTAAGGCCTGGCTCCAGCCCTGCCCATCCTCAGCCAGCTGGCCCTGGAAAGCCAGGGGCTCCAGTGTTTCTGTGCAGGTTGGATTTATGGGATGGCCTTGGAGTGGCTGGCCCAGGAGGGTAGGCCAAGGATGCTGGAGAAACACGCAGTGAGATTTGAGTTTCAGATAAACAACAATGTTTTTTAGTATAAGTATATCCTGTGGGATGTACTTATACTAAAGGAGTGTTATTCATCTGAAATTCAGATGTAACTGCTCTCCTGTATTGCTATTGGTTCCATCTGCCCATTGCACCTAAGAGGGGTGTGGAGGTCAAGCCTCACCTCTTAGAGTCTCCCAAGGGGTTTCTGGTTTTAGCTGGGATGGCAGGTAGGGTTTATGCAACCAGTGAGGACGGGGACTAAAGGAGGGAAAACAGAGCACTGTGGGTCTGGAGAGATCTGTGGAGAGGCAGCCTCAGGAGAGCCAGGCTGAGGTGCAGCAGCCTATCATCTTGAGGTTCATCCCACTGGTGGAACTCCCAGAATTGCCCTCAGAGGCAGGATGGCCACACTAGGAGAAGAGAGGAGACCACCCAGGTCAGATGCCCTATGGGGACCTCTGAGAGCCTACTCCATGCTTGTGAGGGTTAACCTTGTGCGTCAGTTTGGAGGGTGTTTTGGATGGGATTAATTTTTAAATCTGGGAACTTTGGGTGAAGTGGATGGGTAGGCCTCATCCAATCATTTGAAAGCCTGCATAGAACAAAAAGGCCAACCTCCCTAAGCAGGAGGATTGTCCAGCAGACACCTTCGGACTTTGTCCCTGCCATTGGCTCTCCTGGGCCTCAAGCCTACCAGTCCCCACGGCAGACCTTGGACATCCAGCCTCCATGACCACATGAGCCAATGCCTTAGAACAGATTTCTTTCTCTCCACGCATACCCTGCTGACTCTGTCTCCTTGGAGAGCCCTGATGAATATGGGGCCCAAATAGGCAAA